CAAAACTATGTGTACAGTGGGAACATTGTTAAAATTTTAACAAAATAGAACAGCTGATTTCAACGTTGTCACTACTTTTGACAAATTTTGTTTGATACGGACGGTAAGTAGGCACGTCGTTCACTAATTCCACTATTGACAACGAATGTGTCAGCGCAGCATAGAAAAAGTAGCGAAAGAGCTTGGTCTTGTGGTGAACGAAGGAGGTTTCTGATCATGTTTTCAATTTTCTTCAACACGCTCACCCCTTTTTTCAAATTAGTTATAAGTATCATTACATACTACATATGTACTATAAACCGCACTGTGTTCAGAAACCATACGATGATTAGTGTAAGACTATTGTTTAATATATATTATATATATATAACTAGAATCAATCAAATAAACTGGCTTAAACTAGGAGGAAACTCTCATTTAGATCTTTATCTCAGTTTTTAAAATAGCTGTTAGAAGTTTCTAATTGGCACCTTCATAAAGGACCTATTAATGAAAATATTCTGTGTATGTGAGTAGGAATCCCAAAGATACAATTTTGTTTACAGTTATACTTGAGCGTAGGGACTGCCGTTAGCTTCCCGCTACTAAAGATGAATCGTCCCCTACACTTTATGTTAGACTATGAATTTTTCCCAATAAAGCTTTGATCGATTTTTTTCAATTTTAAAATCCTAAAAACTAAGCACTGTATTATCGAAAGTAGTAGTCGATTATGTACCTGAAAAGTGAATAAATTCTAAGATCACTCATTCACTCACTCAAAATATTTATTCCTTTTTCGACATACATACATACTATATATATATACTAAGATTTCAAAATTATTAACATAATTATTTTTGAAATACTTCCAAATTTTTTATAAATATTTTCGTAAGTTTTATTATTTATTACAATACTATTTTCGAAAGTTACTGGATACGTTCTTAATAGTGTTTGATTTTTTACAATTTTTCCAGAAAGCAATATTGTTTCCAGTTTAATTATTTGAATTTGGAAACTTCTTTCTTTTAATTTTTACATTTTCCGTGACTTTTACATACAAGTATGATCTTTGTATGATCGCGATTTAAGTAAACATTCCACAGATCAAATGATTCAGTTCTCATCCTACTTTAAACTTAGTATGCTGGTTTCCAACTAAAACTTCTTCAATTGATATTATCTTATCTGAGTTATTATATACAATATGCAATTATATTTAAAGATACTTTATCTAACTCAATTGTTTTTTCTTCAGTATATCTCTTTAGATTCTATTCCATGAGTAAGTCACGAAGTTATAAACACTTTACCAACACTACACAGATCTGAAGAATTTAGTTACTTGCTGTTATAGAAATTATATGTCACTAAATCTTTAAACCTGATATAGTTTTGTTAAAGGAAATTTTTTTTTACGTAACAAAAACAAAACTGTAGTATGGAACAAGTACTTTAGCCAAACTGGTGGTTGCGATTGACCCCAAGTTTATTGTAATCGTCTGGTTAATATCACAGCCTTAAAAATAAGGGATCGTATTGCGTAAATGAGTACGATTTTATATGGAACACTAGCCATCAAGTCCAATCTCGAGAATACTAATTATTTAATACTAATATTTTGCTTTAGCGTATTTCCGACTGCATTGTAAAATTATATTAATTCTCCTCCACATAATAATCGCGCAGACCTCCATGACGTGAGATGTCGAAACTTTATTAAGGATCTATGCGTAATTAATTAACCCACTAAAACTGAATACAGTACTGAAAAAACCGCCTGTAGAGGATAATAAAGCTTTTAATTGGATAGTTATGATTTATCATTTATATTATTTAAAGTTAACTTTAAAATTTCAGCTTTATTAAGGCTCTACTTTAAAAACAATGTAAAACTAATTTTTAACTACCATTCAGCGGCATACGTGTGTGTTCTGATTTTAATTCTTATTTCAACATATTTGATTTAGCGAACTAAATTTTAAACTTTAAAAAATTATATTAGCTTCACGCAACAAGTAACGATTTAAGTGGACTTGCCTTAAAAGCGTAATTCTAAATTTCCGCTTTTGCTTTCTGTAGCCGTTTTAGATTTCGACGATTAAATAACGCTCTCACGTTTCTTGAATCGTAAAATTTAGAGTATGAGCTGAGGCTGCGGGGTGGCCAGTTTTTGTCACCTATTCTGGGTATCCGTTTTGCTCATTATAAAGTATATTTTTATTATACTGTATATATTATACTCGTATCATATAGTTTACCCTCCATTTGTCCATTATTTATTTATTTTGACACGTGTTCTTTTGTCACTTGTCACTCATTAAGAGTAAGAGGTTTATAATTTTGTAAGTAATGCGCATAATTAATTGGTTGAATACTGTGTTAGACAGCGTGTGTGGGCGGAAATACAATATGTAGGAGTTGTATTTAAATGAATTGTCAAAACTTTGATATTTAATAAATCAATTTTACAAACAATCGTCCGTCAGCCATTGTGAAGCATCTACTTAAGTAAAGTATATTTGGTCGATAATAAATTTACAAATTAAAAAATATGAGTTGCATTTTTCTTTATAAAAAGTGCAATGTTCTGTTAATATGACAATCACGTGCGGATTTAACAAATACATATGTACATACATATTTGTTATTATGTAAAGAACTGAAAACCATTTGGAGTTTGGAACTTTATTATTGTGTGGCATCTTTCACGTTTACACCTCTTTACTTTGTTCAGCATTTGCACAACTAATGAATATGATACTTCACATTTCAAAAACAACTTTCAAATATATTATTATTGGATTTTACAAATTGTACTCATAACAGAAGCAAAAACTTTTCGTTAAACAAAAAAAAAAAAAATAATAATGAATAACGATAGATTCGGCGGTCATTAAACTGCAGAAAACTCTTATTGAAGGCAGAGGAGAGTTCTGAACATAAATTCGGAAACATATCAGAATTATATATTTGTTAATTTTTAGGCATGGAACAAAATATTCAAATATCCGCTTTATGATATAGTGATCTGATCTGAACAATTTCTTCGGAGAATACGAGTGTTCAGTTTGTATGGCAGCTATATGCTATAGTCATCCGATCTTCGGAGATTGCATTATTCTTTTAAATAACAATCCATGCCAAATTTGAGAGAGTTTTCTGTATAAGCACTTGATTCCGATTGTTCAGTTTGTATGGCTGCTATATGCTATAGTGGTCCAATATCGGCCGTTCCGACAAATGAGCAGCTTTTTAGTGGGAAAAGAACAGGTGCAAAATTTCAGATTGATTGCTTAAAAACTGAGGGACTGGTTTGCATATATATATTGGTCAAAATGGGTTTTTTTGATATGCAGATAAATTTATGGCATTTATAATTTGAAAAAAATGTCGGCCATGTGTCCACCACGGCTCCGTTTGCATATTTCCACCCGTTTACGCCAATTTTCGATGACCTGTTGCAGCACTTCGTTGTCTTCGAGCTCCTCGAGCGTTGCTGGTTGATTGGCGTGCACCTTTGTTTTAACATGCTCCCAGAAAAAATAATCTGATCTTGGCTCGAAATTAACCAGACGCCAAACTTTGCACGCAATGCGTTCAGTTTTAGACAGGAAACATGAGGAAGCTAGAAATGGGCCTCATCTGAGAAGATGTTTCTCTTTTGAAAAAAAAACCAGTAGGCACCGAAGGACGTGAAGTTACGTAATAATATTGGACATTTTCCAAGCGTTGTACCAAAGCGAAACGTGACATGATGAAATGAACACCTTACCTTACCGAACACGCTGACAAAATTTTACACAAATCTTTAAAATAACATGGCCGCCACGAGCTGTCAAAATCACGCCGTCCCTATTGGTAGACGCTGTAAATATATATGATATCCATTGATGTTTGACGATGAATATCTCCTAAATGCGTAACTGAATCGAAAAACTATAAGAGACCATTATGTAGAGCAGTAAATTTCCTACAAGACTATGACCTTTCCGATTTGTAGGTATTTTTTTTGTCATTGAGTTACAAAGTTCATAAGAACAAAATTTTTTAAATAATCAGACTTCAACTGTTACAATCTTTGAAACAGTTAGATTCACGAAAAAATCGTAATCTATGAAACGATATTTTTTCAAGTAGTTGTAAGCGAGATTTATATTTTTCTATCTGTTAATAACAAAAAATAGATAACTGTAAGGCGAAAACCTTCCCAATACAATTAAGAATTCATACTTGGAGAGACATTCTTAGAGATGCCTAAGAACCTATGTTTCAGAGAACCAAGCGAAAAGAATGTTTCACATGACTCACCCTACTGTACGTGTACCAAAATTTGGTCCGTCTGTCTGTCAGATGTAGTAATGAGTAACAGCTAGTATTGCTTATAAAATCTTTCCTGCTTGGTAAAATAGCCCAAAAAAAGATACATACATATGTTCATTGTTCAAATAGTTGATGATAAACTTATAATTGAACAAAAAATTACCAATTGCAATAATAAATTTCATAATGCTCATAATCCCAAGAACATATTGGAAATGTATAAATAAAATTTTTGAAAAATAAATTAAAATTTTTTTTTTATAATAGGTAAATGGTTTTTAGCATAAATAAGTGTTTTAATTTTTGTTTACATAAGAATATTGAAGAAAAATTTTGCATAATATATGAACTTAGTAGATAAGCTAAAAACTCATCTTGCTTCCACTTTGAGGCTCGCTTTGAACTGTGATACTTATGTACAATATGCTATTACTTGTAATTGTTGCACCCAGTCAGGTTTTACTGTAGTTGATATGAATATTTTATGCATTATTACTTCGTTTGTATTGTTTATAATATTATTTTTCTGAATGTTGAAAAGTGTATTTCTAATTGACTTGTGAAAAAGTTTTTAGATATGCTAATAAATATGTATGTGCATATGTACACTCTCTCTTATACGAATATGTACAAGTATGCATTCTGTATATAAGTGAGTAACTTAATATGTAAATTGGCAAATCAAATGGATGTATATAAAATTTTACGCAAATTACACTTACATACATATATATGTACAAGTATTATATATATTTATATATATATATATGTCTGTAGTATGTATGTATCTCTAGTACTACGTTAATCAGCATGCTATGTATTTGTATACCGAAAGTAAACAACATAATTTTTAGCAACCAAATAAACTTAGCGGAATAAGAGCGGAAGATAAGTTGCAAACTGAAACAGTTGAATTGCAAAGTTTGCCTGCCGCCTGGCAAATTGTAAACTCAAAGCAAAAATAGCCTGACTTGGGCCGGCTTTGTTTAGTCGACTAGTGGCAGTGTTAGCGGGAAGATGAAGTCAAGTTTAAAGCTCAGACACGCAGGCGTGATTTTGCTGGCATTGAATTGCGCCTTACTTTGCTCAGGTGATTTATAGATCTACATACATATATATACATACATACAAGTAAACGACATGTGAGAACAGTATTGATTATGAGCTGTACAATGGCCAGTGTATCTATTGGCATTAGTGACTTTGTACTTTGTGTAGTGGGTAGTCACTGCACCCATCGAAATGTGGCATATTTGCATTGCAAATGCAACAATAACTGTCTATTTACTAGCGAGTTCTAAGAAACTGTTAAGATAAAAACACAATTAATTATAAGCCATACATGATGCTATTTTATTGCAGCGCAAGGCGGCAATGGTGGCGCCGGCGGCTGGGGTGGCGCGGCAGGCTCGCCTGGAGCACCAGGTGCACCGGGAAGCAGTGACTTTGGCTACGGCTATGCTGGTGTAGACAGTCGTGGTCATGCGTATGGCGGCGCTGGTGGTAATGGCGGCTATTATGTTGGCGGCGTGGACGACCAAGGCAGACGCTTCTCGTACAATGGTGGCGCGGGTGGTATGCCAGGCATGCCGGGCGCGCCAGGTGGTTATCCAGGTGCACCAGGCGCACCGATTGGACCCGTTGGACCAGGCAACTATCCTAGCTACTATGATCAACGCTATCGATCGTCAGCTAATGCTAAGTTTGCGCAGGCGCACTGGTTGTGGCTGCTAATGCCGTTGGTTGTGCTTTCGCGAGTTTTGTGAAATGAGTAGACATTTTTGTAGATACAATCTTTGTTAAATTTTAGTTGTATTATTTTTATTACGTTCATTTTCCTTTTCAAAACTCGCATAACGCACTAGTTTTTAATTAAATAACTAAACTTGTCTCTAAAATTAGTCACCGTATTTTATGTTTGTTGTTTTTGTTTTTGTAATCTAAAATAGAAACAATAAAATATATTTAATTGCACTGTAAACCAGTTGCGGTCTACTATTGTTGCAATTGTCGGCACTTCTCAAGGGCGGCAGCGATGACATCACGCGACGAAGTGCTACGCCCTGCTCACGTTCGGAACGTCGCTGGGATTTATGTACCTCAAATGTGTTCAATACAATTATTTGCATTTGTCATGACAATTCAGCGGGCTGGTATTTGTGTCGGCGTGGCTGTCAAATGTTTATCTCAAACGCTAATTGGCGTGCACACAGGGGCGTGCGCACTTTGCACCATTAGGGGGTTAGTGTACATTTTTACATGTGTGTATGTATATGTACTACCAAAACCATGTACTTATATTAATACACTCAGTCAATGAAATTGTTTGTAAAATGTTAGGCCCGTAAACGCTATCGTTTTAACTCGAAAGTTTTGCAAGCGAATTTTATCATTTCTCAAAAGCTGAAGCATGTGAAACAGCAAACAATTGTCTGTTGTAATATTTACTATTTTAACAACAAACAAACAAAATCATAATTCATACATTTTCAAATCGATCTCTTGAAAACTGAGGAACTAGTTCGCCGAATAAACAGACAGACAGATGGACCGACAGACAGGTTAAATCGACTCAGCTCGTCACGCTGACCATTTATATATATAATTTAGAGGAGCTCCGACGTTCGTGGCAAACTTTGTTAAGTTCATGGTATAACAGGTGGGTAGGTAGAGTGGCTGCCTGACAGCGCACTTAGGACTTTAGGAGCCCCATTGGGATACCAACAAGACTCACTCTATTGTCTCCACTCTGCACTACCCGATGCTTCTGATGAAGTTTATCACTGAAAAAAGTATTATTTGTGCAACCTCTGAAACGTCGTCAAGAAACTCTCGAAGGATAGTTGCGATTTGTTTTCTGTACAGAGCCTTGCATTGTCATAGAATATGTTTTACAGTCTCCTCTTTTTCTATCTCCTGACAGTTTCTACAAGAGTCATTGTATGGTGCACTTACTTGTAGTCTTCTGGCATATCTGCCAATTAGACAGTGACCTGTTGGCACTCCTTCTAGAGTTCTTAAGTCATTCCTTTTCAATTTTAATTTCAAATTTTGATTTTAAAAGCATGGAGAAGCTTACTGTGGCTTAAATTATAGTAGATATCATATATGTATTCATGTTTGTATATTAGATTACGCTACGCAAATTTTTAAATAAAAATTGGAAAAAGTAATTTTTATCATAAAAAATTCTTAACTATAGGTTATTGACAGCCTTAACTATAGGTTATTGACAGTTTCCGGTAATATATTTTTCCATCAACCTTTTTTGTTAATTTGTGGATTGCATCTCACAAGAACTGCACCGACTTAGCGACCAAGAATGAATCAAGCAAAGTTTTAGTACCCTGTTCGGATGAGAAGTGTATTCCAGTGAGAGAGTTCTGCATCGACCGGAACAAATGGTAATCTGGGCTGTAAGGCGGGTGTGGCAAAACTTCCAGCCGCTGTTTTCCAAATAGTTTTGACCGGTTTTTGGACTTGAGGCCGAGCGTTGTCATGATGGAAAATGATTTGTCTCTACTTTGTCGTAAAATACAGTTTTGTTCACCTAAAGCTAGTTTGTATCACCTAAAAATAATCGAGATAGATATAGGGCTATATATATATAGGTATATAAATGATCATAATGACGAAACGAGTTGAAATTCGAGTGACTGTCTGTCTGTTCGTCCGCCTGTGTGTGCAAGTAAGTAACTTGAGTAAAAGTTTAGACATTATAATAAAATTTGGTACACCTGTTCCGTGGCAAAAAAGCAAGGACAAGTTCGAATTTGGCCACTACTACGCTCACAAAACGTTATTAAACAAAAACTTATAAAATGCCACAACTAAGCACTTATAATAATAATAATAACCCAACGATTACCCTCTTCCTGCCCAACCGACGCGAGGGGCGCAATCCGCATACGTGCGGAATTAGCCGAGTCAGAAAAGGCAAGAGAGTTTTTTAAGTGTTGAGATCTAAAACTGCTCAGCTACCGAAACAAAAATTTCAGCAGCTAAGATCTAAAGTTACAATATAATAAATTGTTACATTTTCATTTATTAAGAGAAAACAATAAAGTCTTTTTAATTTTGAAAAGTGAGTCAGATAAGTCAAATGTGCTGGAATGAGAATTAAAATCATGACATATACGGCGGAATGGCTCGTTTAGTTCAAAATTTGATCTACAGGATTTTAGCAGTAAAGGTCTAAACTGCCTCGAAAGGCGAACCGAAATATTAAATTAAATTTCAGACAGGAGAAAAGAACTGCAAACAGTTCCATTCAAAAGTTTCACTAAGAATATTATGCCAAGCATTTCCCTACGACTAGAAAGTGTAGGTAGATTAATAAGTTTTAAACGACTAGTGTATGGAGGTAGACTTAACCTAGAATCCCATCGGAAATGCGCTAAGGCGAAAAGTAAAAATGGTTTTTGAACAGACTCTAACTTGTCAGAATGGATTTGGTAGTTAGGGTTCCATACAACAGAGCCATATTACAATATAGGTCTAACCAAAGTTGTATAAAGTGTTTTAGTAATATACGGATCTCTAAATTCTTTAGACCAACGTTTAACAAAACTGAGGACAGCTTTTGCTTTCAAGACCATGGTATCAATATGAAGACTGAAATTAAGCTTAGGGTCCATATTAACTCCCAAATCAACATAGTTAAAAACTTGCTTTAGAAAATGTTAATTAATGTATAAAACTGTAAAATGGCACAGCGGATTGCAATAGCAAGGGGCATCTATAGGCTAAAAATTAAAAAGTGGCCCGCCGTCTAATAAGTTTAATGTACATAAGTATCTCCTAAATCTTTTAAGATGCAATAACCAAATTCGCTTAGGAAAAATTGTTTAAGAATCCCTACCGACAGTGCATAAATGGACTAAGTCGAGTGTTGACTCCGCCCTCTCCCCATATATTCGGATACAACTTTGCACAAATAGTTCCTTTGAGTTATACCATCTCGAGTCTATAAATTGTCAAAATCGGACCATAATGTTCAAGATCCCACATACCCAATATGTGGACCCCAGTGCTTATGGTTGACTTTTTACCTAAAATATCGTCAATCTTTGGGATATGTTATTGAAATTCGGAGAAAATATTGCTTTGATAACATATATCCTTTTGTAAAAAATCGGTTGAATCGGGTAATACTTCCTAATAAAAAGATTTTCGAACTTCCGACTGACTTTGTACCACATACGACATTTATACTCACGACATATGTATACATATACGACATTATACCACATACAACACATATTTTGCCTAAAATAGATAAAATCGGGCAAAAACTTCCCTTAGCTCCCGTACAACTGATAATCAGGATTTTGAAACATCCGACTGATTTGACTCCATATATATGAATGTTTATGTTTATATATTAATAAAATGGCTTGAAAATAAGTTCTCAAGTATACCTAAACAATGTCACAAATTAATGCAGTCAGGCCTTCATTTTCCTTGACTTTCCACCTGACTTTAAACCGTTTAGGTTGGTCAAAATGTGTGATATTTTAATGAAATTAAGAGGACACGCTTTATTAAGAGTTATAAAATGATATTAATGGTTTGGCGCTTAATATAAACAAAATTGGTCTTGGTCTAAACCTGATATCCTAATATAATATAATAAATTTCCATCCTCTGGTTGACATTTTCCACATCATCTCAATATATTAAATTCGGCCTCTACGGTTGGGTTTTCATCAAATATATCACATTTGGAGAAGTTTTTAATATAATTTTAGCTGACGCGAATGAAAATATAACAGAAAAACAAAGTGGATCTATGACCTATAATATAACTGATTAAATACCAGATATAATTGTAATCCATTCAGGATTTGTCGGATAATGAATGTTGAATTCTTTCGAAATATTTTTTTAATATAAAGTTTTGCCAACGCCTGGAGATATTCAGCCGCCTTCGATCCTTGCTAGTTGGAAGAGTATAAAATCTTCGGTTACTCCCGAGCTTAGCTCTTCCTTACTTGTTTACGTTTATGGTTGTCGTGATGGATGCATATTTTATCACCAGTCAGAATTCGATGCAAAAACAACTTATTATAATATATAATAATAAAAATCTTATAGAATATTTCTAAAATTTGTCATTTTTTTTCACGTCATATAAATAAAATGATAAAATAATATACTCTTATTTTGGGTCTCTGATTTTGTAGTTTTTTCTTTCGAAGAACTCCCTATTTTAAGTTAAAATATTCCTATGAAGTTGATACGGATTTGATTCATAAAAAAAAGAGTATCGTTTTCAGAAGTACTAAACACATCATAATAAACATTCGTGATCGCCAAAACTTAGTATTAGGGTGGTAAAACATTGAAAAATGAGACTTAATACTGACACTGACTAAAAAGTTGAATAAAATGCTGAGGTGCTGTAATCTCATTCATTTCGAAAGAAATGGACCTACCTATCGTAGGTAGAAAGAAAATATCCAATATTTTAGAAAAAGGGGTTTTTCCTAAACTGGAGTAAAAATTAAAAAAAAACGTAATGTCTTCTACTCTCAGGATATTTAGCACATTATACGTTGCATCTATTCTGAAATATTGATATGATATGGCATTAATATAAAAATATCGAAATTATCAGAAAAATTTATTTTCAGAGCGCGGGCACTAACTGAACACCTTCGAAGGTGTTAAAACTCAATATACAATTAAATTATTAGCAGCGGTTCGCATACGAAGTTTTAAAAGCTTTTGAAAGTGGTTGTAGTTCAACCAATGCCCAAGTACAATATAACCAAGTTCGGAAAGAACATTTCGTTTCGTAATTATATGGTTCATAATAAAATAAATTGGCTAATAATTATGCTCACGTCCCTTATAACTTTTATGATAAAGACTATTTAAAATGCAGTAAATCTAAATACAATAGTAATATCAAAAATACAAAATTTAACTATAGGGATAATACAATGGAACCTTATAGAGATCCGTTGAAAAATTAAACAA